TCGCAATGCGAAATGAAAATCGCAAAGAGAGAATCGCAATGCGAAATGAAAATCGCAATGCGAAATGAAAATCGCAACGAGAGAATCGCAATGCGAAATTATAAACGCATTACGATTCTCTCGTTGCGATTTTCATTTCCGCATTGCGATTATAATTTCGCATTGCGATTCTCTCGTTGCGATTTTCATTTCGCATTGCGATTTTCATTTCGCATTGCGATAGTCATTTTTGCCTTCAACATAATGCAGATTGAAATCAACAAAATCAACCATTACATTTCAATCAATTAAACAAGCACAAATAAGAATTATGTTCGCTTCAATTACACAAATCAACTTTTACAAATCATCTTTTACAAATCAATTAAACAATCAAAAAATAAGCAATAATTCTTATTTCCGATCATCTACTATTGAATCAACTTTTACAAATCAATTAAACAATCAAAAAACAATCAATTAAACTATTGAATCAACTTTTGCAGCCATACATCATTTTCACGCAGTTCACTTCTGAGATTAACCTGCAGAAACCAAACATTTGCTCAAACAACACTTTCTACACATCTAAAACCTACAAACAGCAAATTATTGAATTCTAGGTACTTAACCAAACATTTTCAAACCAAAAGTATATAAACTTACCAATTGTTTATGGACATTTTTATAACGCGGATGCAGGTAGGCAGCGTCTCGTATATATCGATTTAGCCATATAATGCCGAAACCACAAGCCTACTGCAGCTCTATCTCTATCGGTGGGAGGTAGATACTTGATGCTTCCCGTCGTCAAACGCTCCAACGCCAAGCATACGAGAGGACCACAATCTCCTCTGGCTCCGCTCGTTTGTTGTGGCGCGGTCTCGTCTCTAATAACTGTAATATTGAGCTTCTTTGGCTTCTTGTTTCCAGAACGAGTCCAATAATTGATCGCATCCAAGAATTTAGCCAAATGAGAGCTCCATCCCTTAATAACATCTCTTAAATCAGCCAATGATATGTAATTTATCATGCTGTCATACACTATTGTCTTAAGGGATGGGAGCTGAAGCTCGACGAGAATCCAATGTTTACGTTCCAAAACAGGGATTTTGGTTGAAATGTAATGGTTGATTTTGTTGATTTCAATCTGCATTATGTTGAAGGCAAAAATGACTATCGCAATGCGAAATGAAAATCGCAATGCGAAATGAAAATCGCAACGAGAGAATCGCAATGCGAAATTATAATCGCAATGCGGAAATGAAAATCGCAACGAGAGAATCGCAATGCGTTTATAATTTCGCATTGCGATTCTCTCGTTGCGATTTTCATTTCGCATTGCGATTTTCATTTCGCATTGCGATTTTCATTTCGCATTGCGATTCTCTCTTTGCGATTTTCATTTCGCATTGCGATTTTCATTTCGCATTGCGATTCTCTCGTTGCGATTTTCATTTCGCATTGCGATTTTCATTTCGCATTGCGATTCTCTCGTTGCGATTTTCATTTCGCATTGCGATTTTCATATCGCGTTGCGATTCTCTCGTTGCGATTTTCATTTCTCTCGTTGCAACAGTCATTCTCTCGTTGCGATTTTCATTTATCTCGTTGCGACTCTTCTGCAAATTGAAACTTGAATGGATTGCATTACTTCAACCAAAAGACAGAACAAAGACAAAGACAAATACTAACTTGAAAATCGCAACGAGAGAATAGCAACGCGAAATGAAAATCGCAACGACAGAATCGTAACGCGAAATGAAATCTAAGTGAAATGGTTAATCTATTATTGAAATGACCAGTAAACTTATCATCAGTTTCAATATGAAAAACCTACAATAATGCAAACATTTCAAAATAAAAATAATTAAAAAAACTAACCCTCGGAGGTTGATTTTCCATTTCTGAATATTGTGAGGGATTTCTGACCGTGAATGGTTGTGAGGGATTTCGCCGGAGATGGGGACGGAAATCTTCGGAGATGGGGACGGATTTCTTCGCCGTAGAGAGTGAGAGATGGAGATGGGACTGAGTTGTGATTTTAGGTTTTAGGTTATGAGTTGCGATTACGGGATTTTGTCTTAATATTCGTTTTTGTAATTTGAAAATAAAATACGCGTAGCGATTATAATGGCGCTTTAAATATCGCGTTGCGATTTACGGATACGCGTTGCGATTTTATGTATTATCGTTGCGATTTACGGATACGCGTTGCGATATACGGATACGCATTGCGATTTACCCATACGCGTTGCGATTTACGGATACACGTTGCGATTTACGGATACGAGTTGCGATTTATGTGTTCGCGTTGCGATTTTCATATTCGCGTTGCGATTTTGGAAAATCGCAATGCGAATTTGTACTATCGCATTGCGATTTTCAAGAATCGCGTTGCGATTTTGGAAACTGATTTGCGATTCTGGGGATCGCGTTGCGATTTTTATTTCGCGTTGCGATTTTGTTGGTCATTTTGGCAAATCCAAAAAAAGTTGGTTAAAATCGTATATTATAACCTTTTTTTGGTCACTGAGGCGATTTTCTCTAATAATTATAAGGACGTACACATGATTTTATGTTATATGAAGGAACTTCTAGAATTTTAGAAGTGAAGAATTTATAAAATTGGATAAATTACATGTTTAGTACTTAAATGATTACTGTTATTCCATTTTGGTACCTAAACTTTAATTATTTTTTTCCAAAATCATACCTACATTTAGTTTAGATTTCATTTTGATACCTTACCATTAACAGCTTAATAGAACTGTTGACGTGATGTTATAAGATAATGTCATATCATTATTAGAAAAAATAAAAATGCCACATCTGTAGCTATGTTATGTTTTTAACGACAGATATCAAAATAAAAAATTAAAGTAAACAATATGTATTTTTTGAAAAAAATAAAGTTAAAGTACCAAAACGGAACAAAAGTAATAATATAGGTATTAAGCATATAATTTTCCCTATAAAATTTCAGAGACGAAGACTATTATTAATGAAAATACAAAGAAAATATCTAAAATATATGATAATTTAAAATTTTCAGAACGACGATGTCCCCGTCTCCTCTACTTCGTTCCATCATGAACTAACAACCAAATTATATCCAAACTTAGGTCATAATAAATTTAAATAAGATCTATAATTCATTAAATTCGAATTATGTTAACACTTATTATATTATTTATTTGTTTTATTGCCAACATTATGGAAGGAGGCACGTTGTAATCAACAAAAAAGAATCTGATTGAAGGCACGTTTATCTAATTGATTGCTATTATGGAGAAAAAAAGGTGCACGCACGTTGAACCAGACATCGGAATTCAGCAATTTAGTTGCATTGGTTGACTATAATGTTACATCAATCAAATGCAAGAAAAAGAGTAGGCAAAGACAAAGGAAACTTGTTTGCAGCTGGCATATGTACCAACACAGGCAACAGCAAAATAAACATAGAGATGTAATGTACCAACACAGGCAACAGCAAAATAAACATAGAGATGTAATGTACTCGTCTCCAGCTTGGTTCAGTTTGAGATGTTGGAAACAAGGAGACGAGCAAGAGGGTTCGATTTGACCGGAGTTTTAAGTGTGTTCGGATCACTCAAAGTGAAAGAAAGAATATGAAGAATGCTCAACAATTAATCCTCGTATCATTGTAGATCATATACCACTAAATTTATTAATTTTAAGTAATAATTATGACCCTCTCTCACAGCTGCAGCTACAACTACAACAACCTGAGGGTCGTCCTTCTCCTTCAGTCTTTTGGCAGCCAACTTCGGCCTACCCACCTCAACAGCCTCAACCACAACCTCGATTCCCTTTCCTCGTTTGCTTTCCCGCTTCTTCAGGTTGCTGTTGCGGCAGCGCTAACTTGGCGCGACCTTTACAAACTCCTTTTCTAAGCTCATGCATTTCATAAACCCCGTACAATTGAAACGAAAAGCCAGCTAGTCGATCATTGTGTAGCTCCTACAACTGCAGCCATGGAAGATATTCATTTGAAAATTAAAAAGAACCCGCGTCGTAAAGGAACAAGAAATCGAATCAAGAAATGTGAATTTGGGTGGTTTGGTTTAATTAGAGGAGGAGGAGGAGGAACTGCAATTAAGTGTTGCGTCAGCAAAAATTAACGGGAGGTAACGCATGAATCTTACTGAAAACGGATTAAAAGTTCGATGATTATATTATAAATTTCAAAAGTTGGGTGATCTAAATGCAAATGTCTTAAAAGTTCGGGGACTATTTATATACTCTACCCTAATATTAAATGTACTTAATTTAAGTTTAAAATTATAAACTAGATTAAGCAACCTATAATGAATTAGTAAATAATAATATTTTTTATTGCTCTCTCGATTTCAATGCTTCATCCTAATTAATCAATATCAAATTGTTTATCAATTGAATAAAACTTGTTAGTTAAATAACAATAACTTTAATAAATATGTTAGTTTTTTAAAACCCAAACCAATTTATATTACACCACTTAAACCCAGCCCCATATATAACCAAAACCTATAATAAAAGCGTAACCCATAACCATAACCCAAATGCCATACAGTAAAAACCCAATCACCTTGGAACTAAATTCATCAGTGCTCATGCATCTCTTTCAGGGTAGAGTTTATATATACATACATATATAGGCAAAAGTGGTTGAATAATGCAATAGGAAAAAAATTCTTCATATAATGCAGTCGAACAATTATTTGCTTAAGTGTGGTGATTGTTACAGTAACCTCCATAGGTCTCCAGGAGCACACGACGACCTCTATGGTCGCATGGAGCATACGCGACCAACCTAGTGTGCATGGGCCATGCATGCGAGAGAAGAGCTGCAACAGCGAGGGAAGAGAGAAGAGTTGCTGCAACAGATGAGGCTTTGTCGCAAGGAGCACTTGAGGTCACTGTAGCAAACACCCCAGTTCAAGAAATAATTTAGTTAGAGCCCTATATGGGGATTTTTCCCAATGCCCTACATAGGTGAGGAAGCATATATATATAAACCAAAACCTAAATGTTGTTGATTATGTTGGGTTAATTGGTGGGGAAATTTAGCATTTAGGGTTATGTTTTGAGAGTTTAAGGTTGCTGCTTCAAGTTCAGTTTGTTATGGTAGATTTTGAGAATGGGTTATGAATTTGGGGTTGGACATGTAATTGAAGTATTTTGGAATTTGAGGTTTAGAATGTAATTGAAGCATTTTGGATTTTGGGTTTAGAATGTAATTGGTGAGTGTGTTGCAAGTTTAAAAAGTTGGGAACCTAAATGTAAGCACTGAATAGTTCAGTGACCATTTATATAATTTATCCCAACGTCAGTTACTTCAGGGACCATATTGCAAATGAACTAAATACTTGGTGACTGTATTGCAAGTTTTAAAAGTCGGGGAACCTAAATGCATGCATCTGAAAAGTTTAGTGATCAATTATATACTTTACTCATTTTTTAAATAGTCAAGAAAAAGAGAGGGAAAAATCTTGGACGGCTTCAAATGCTCTTTCTTTTGAAATTTTTAAAAATTATTTTTTTAGTACAAGAGATGGCCATGCACGCCATTATTCACTAGTCATCGTCCCAATTAAAATGATCTTTTAATAAATATTTTACAGGTAAGTAATCGAGTATATTTATTTATATATAATATCTATTTACTGAAAAATAATAATTTAAACTATGGAAATATGTGAAAAATATTTTTAAAAATTAATAAATCCAAAACACATCAACACAAATACATACCAATAGCAAGATTGAAATAGAAACAATTGAATCTGAAGCTTTCCCACCATTAATTATGCCGACAAATTAAACATTTCCTTCAACATTACTTAAAGGAAAACTAAAGTAGTCATCACTGGCCCTAGCCTGTACCAAACATGTCTTGTTCCTGCTAATTAATTAGGGAATGAGAACGTGCCGGATGTTACTGATGAAATGAATGGTAAAAAGAAGTTGAAGGAACTAAAGCAGCTCTAAAACTGTAAGTGCACAGTGATGTTTCTCATATTCATTCCTCATTATTACTACACTTTGATGAAAGCAAAAGGGAAAGGAGAATTAAAGCATGCATGCTATCCTTTTGACCGAGCAAAACTCAAACAAAGATTTTAGGTGTACCGATTGTTGGACATTCTAAAGGGAAGCACATGGTACAGGCCCTACTACTCATCAGTAATTTCTTCCCCCACATATCTCGCTTTCCTCAATTGGCGCATAATTCCCCGGCCATGACCGCGCCAACTCCTCTCTATAAAACAAACATGGCACCTTACAACAGCTTCCCACCATTAACTCACCATGGCTTCCTTTGCACAACCCATTGCTTTCTTCTTCTTTCTTGTGCTTTCTTCCCCTCTCCATATTCAAGCTAGGGAGAGCAAGTTCTTTACCAATTTCATCCACCTCCGTGCCAAAATTTCTCCTCTAGCCGCACCGACACCGTCTCCGGAAGTCGCGCCCGTACTAGCACCAACACCGGCTAACTTCGATAGCCAAGATCCTTATTATGGCCTTTACGGTCACGGTTCCAACATGTTCCCCACTGCAAAAGAGGGTGTCACCACGAGCAACACTCCTACCGCTGCTTCCAATTTCGAAAACGATCTCTTCACCGACGAAAGATACGAGAAAAACAACAACAACAACTATGAGTTCACCACGAGCAATTACAATTACAACAACAATGACAATGGCTACACCCTCAGCAACTACAAGTACAACACCAATGGCTACAACGGCAACTACAACGATAATGGCTACGAGACCGAGAGACAAGGAATGAGTGACACCAGATTCGTGGAAGGTGGTAAGCATTTTTACAATGTGGAGAAGGATAATCACTACCCTAATGGATATGAGTTTTCATCGAGCAAGGGAACTAGTGAAAATGAAGGTTACTACGGAAATACAGACAACTCCATGGAAGAGTTCGAGAACAAGGGAGGGGAGTATCAGGAGAGAGAAGAAGAGTATGCGCCCTAAAATATTGGTTTGGGAGAGTGATTCATGTGTTTAGGGACCAGGGAGACTAAAGTTTACGGGTAGCCTTTCCTGTGTTTTACTACTTCGCTTGTGTTTTGTTATCTATGTTTTACAAATCAAAATGGATCCAAGAATATACAGTTTCACATACTGGACTTGATTTCAATTAATTATTCAAGGAAGAGGGAACTATTACGACTTTCTATCATTATCTCTTCACTTTAAAGAAATCAGTTTAAAAGAAATTCCTCAAATAGACTGCGACTGTTCACCCTAACCATTATTATCTCTTCACTTTAAAGCTAATTACACTACAAATCCCTAAACTATGAATCATATTCTAAATTTATACTCAAACTATTGAACATTTCAATTTCATTCCCAAACTATGACTTTCATTTAATTGATCCTCATACTTTTAAACATTCTGGCCAAACTATTACCCTCATTCTCAATTTATCACACAACTTTTGAATGATCCAATAATATCCCTATAACCATTCAAAAGTTTGGGTATGAAATTGGAACATTCAAAAGTTTAGAGATCAATTTAGAATAAGAGTCATAATGTAGAGATAAAATTTAAATATTTAAAAATTTTAAAGATAAATTTAAAATAAAAGCCATATATATGTAGAGCAATTAACTATTTAAAATTCAAAATAAATTTGGGTGGGCCTTGTACTGGGCTTCATTTAATCAAACTCAGTCTATAATTAAACTTGACTAGAACTCGAAAACAAAAATTAAAATTTGACTTAAACTCAAAAAAATCTTGAACTTGATTACAGTTCACTCTCAAACTTGAATATTAAGTAGATGAGAATATTATATATAAAATTTAATTTTTAAAAAAATATTTTAATATATTATTTTTTAAATTGTTTGCGAGCTTTTCGAGTTGAATATCAAATAACGAGCTTTTCGCTCGTTAAAAACTTCAAATTCAAACTCAAGCGGAAGCCATATTAGTAGAGTATTGACCAAGGAGGAAATCATGTCTTATCAACTATCCATATAATATGTTCTGGTAACAATCAGGCTATTGCATAAACTACAAACACCTATGCCATGCAACCTGCCCTGCTTCTGTCAAATGAATAAGAATGATCTGCCAGATGCTGAGACTTGCATTGTTAAATGTCGGAAACGGAGAATCAAGGCCGGAATACCAAATATAAATCACATTTGTTGCGGAAAAAAGAAAAATAAAATAATTAGTTCCCTTAAAAATACAACTAATGCCTAAAACAAAAACCTAAAACGGTTGCAGCATACTTTCCCTAAATCACAAGGCAAGCGCAAAGCAGGGCATTTGGTGTGCCCTATTGTAGCATGAGAACTTCATAGTGTTCTACCTCTGGAGCACCACCTCTAACAAATGCACGAAAATACCAATACCTTCCTCTTAGTGAAAACATAACAGTATCCATTAAGGCCTTCGTTTATTGTCATTGTCTTCTTCATCATCAGAATCACCACTCTCCCGGAAACGTGGATTCTTCTCCTGTTGAGTCGGAATTGTGGTTTAAAATATGTACGGAAAGGAAAAGTGAAAACGTCGGGATTGGAGAATGAATTTAGCATCCTATAACCTTTTCCTAAATGCATTTTATCTAAATGAATCTATGTCCACCTTATGGTGTCTCCTGGACAATAATAACTCAAAATTTCTTGACAAAGAACTTTTCATAGTGCTGTGAAGCATTACCGGTCTAGAGTCTGAGTCATGGTCAGAGGCTCTCCTGGATTCATGATCCGAGTTCCTCTTTGGGGCCTCGCGTCCATGTCGGTCATCATCTCGGTGCCGCTTCCGATGGTAATCTGAATTATCAACAATCAATCAAGTCTATGAATGGTTCGTGCATGTGTCTACATAATAAGAAAAACTAGTGCATCAAAGGTACCTCTCCCATGACGATAAGAACCACCATGTCCATGGCCCCCTCCATGCTTACCATCTGTAATTATATAACATGTCAGTATGTTTCATCTTTTCTCCGAGCACATTAACATCCGAAACACATCAGATGCACATTAAAGGACAGAGATGCCCAAAAACACATAAGTTAGATGATATCTAGGAGATTTGCTTCGGTACAGAGGATTAAACCAAGCGGGGATCAAATGATTAGTAATGAAATTGATATAAACTGAGAAACAAAAGAAAAAAGTAGCATCTCGCTGCCAGTTTCCAAATATGTTCATCATTTACTATAGAAGAGGCTAATCATTTCTAAGAGAGTCAAACATTTTCCTTATCCACTCATTATCATCTTCCAGTTTGCATTTGAAGCCATTAGCTTATCTTTTTCTTGGGTCTTTAATACAGAACATGCAGACTAGAGTCTATAGATCTATATTTTAAAACAATGAGCAGAAAACAATAGGCAACTTTGTCGTTTTATGAGCCGAGAAAAGGTAAATTCTAACCAACAACGCAACTAATGTATATAGATCTATATTTAAAAGTCTGCAGGAACTCACAATGAGGAGGCATAACCGGCGGGAATGTGCCCAAGGACCCAGCACCATAATCTACAAGCTGCCTTTGTGCTTCCAATTCTCTTTGAACTAATTTTCCGTAGCCACCTCTGCGTGTAGCATGTTAAGGTAGAAGACAATATATAGACAGAAAAAACATTCTGAAGAGACCCCGACGAACACTTAAGCATCTTTCGGTTGTTTCGGAACAAGATAATAAACTATGAGCATCAAATTTAAAACAAACAGTTGAAAGGATATCAGGATCATAATCAGTTCGATATTCATCTCGCACCTGCATGCATATAAAACTTAAATGATTAATACAAGAAAAACAGAAGTTTAGCAATACTCTCTCCATCCTATTCTACATATCACAGGTCCATAGTATGCAAGCCTAGAACTAAACATCCAATTACACAAGTCAACACAATACAATTTTTCATAAAAACGTACACTAGGTCAAGCGTATGCAAAATTGCAGGCAAAACAAAAGGACCTTACTTGACCACCACTTCGGCCACGGCCCCATTGCCTTCCTTCAACAAATCCCCAATCGAAATCTACACGAATCGGACGGTCGTCAAGAATGGTCCCGCTGATGTATTTAACAGCATCCTCGGTATCTTCCCTAGAATAATACCTGATGAAAAACCCAGAAACAAAAACAAAAACTCGATGATTAATTAAGAGCCGAAAAGTGAAATTTACCAATTTTTTGGGGGAAAAGATAGTTACAAGACAAAGCAAAAGCCGCAAGGTGTCTTAGAGTTCTTGTCAAGCCCCATGATTATTTTCTTAATTTCACCGGCTCTAGAGAAAAGCTCATAAACTTGTTCTTCAGTAGTGTAAAAAGACATGTTTCCGATATAGACGGTTGTCGAATTGAGGAGGGCTTGCTCGAATTCCTCTTGAGTGCCATTAAATCTCCTGTCTCGGTACGCTGAAATCTTAGTTGGGTCCTGTAATTTTAACACCCCAAGAAAAAATGATCATTAAGTAATTTACATTGAAAAAAGCTGGGAAGCAAATAATATATATACCTTGAACAGAGAAGCCATTGCCTTTTTCAAAAGCTCCCAAAAATTCAAATTATTTGCATATAACGAATTATAAAGGTCGAGGCTTTTGCTTTTGCTTTTGCCTTTGCCCTTGCCCTTGCCCTTGATGAACACTGCAGTGAAGGGGATAATAAAGTATTTATTGGGCCGCAACATTTACGAAGAACAATGGGTTCTTTCTTTTGTTTTAGCCTTCGGCCCATTATCGTTTTCCAACTTATGCTTATTCCACTACTTAGCTAGCTTTCTCCACTTCGCCTTGTCCGGAAAGACTTTCAAATCCTTGGAACAGCAGAAGAAATAAAGGGTAAATCTTTTGATATTTTGGCATCTGAAATCTCTCCACTTCATCTCATCCCGCAAAGTTGCCCATTGCATCGTTTGGCGCCGCCGCAAGATCAGTTTTCCTATCAAGTGCAACTCGAACGCTGCGGCTCGGCTCGCCCCACAATTTAGAGCTGCACCCTGTCTTTCCGTGTCTCATCAAGGGTTCCTCTCTCCAACTGCATTTTCAGGTCTGCCTTTAATATCAGATTAGTGAAAAAAATCCTCTCTTGGTTTTGGGTGTTGAAGGTGTCAAATTGAAGCGAGTTTCTGCTTGGAATCGATGCTGCCGTATCACTCTGCCACTGCTTTGGCTTTGATGACTTCGATGCTCACTGTTTCTTGCAGCACCGCTGCTTGGTTCCCCGAAGGTATTGAGATTTCAATCGTTTACATTATTTGCTTTCTGGTTTGTTTATTATTGAACTTTGACGAGAATTGAATTTGCTATAACTTAGTGCTTTCCCTTTTTGTTTTGGCTCATTGATTTCTCTTCTTTGTTCTTGTTTCCCTTGGATTACTGAACGATTCTTACATGTCTTGTTGCTAGTTTTAGACACCCCTTTGTATACTTTGGGTGTATTTGAGGATTGAAATTTGAAGTAATCGAAGGACCGATTTGAAACTGGGTATAAAAAACATATATTTGTCTGTTTTGTTGTGTGCTTGTGTTCAATAGAGAAGTGGTTGTCATTTTGTCTGTAGATTATCTAACCGTGAAGGCATGAACTTGTCATTATTAGCTATCTAGGTTGTTACCTTGACATTGTTTTCGGTTAGATTTCCTTGAAGTTAGCATTACCTGTTTGTGTTGTCCTACGAAAAGTGAAAGAACTTGTTTGTAGTCATTGTCTTAGGGAATATGCTCAGTTTAGTTTTCATGTATCGAATCATGAATTTTATTTCATAACTACCGAGACAACATTCCTTTATCTTCTTGTCACTCTTTAAGGGTCCGTGTTCCTTATTTCATGTTGTAGGACAAGACAAGACTAGATGAAGATCAAAGCACAAGAGGAATTACTGGATTAATTTATGATTTTAAGCTTTTGAGCTAGGGTTAATGTACTTTTAATTTCTAAGAAGTGATTGAAGATAACATAAATCGAGGGTTAATATACTTTGTAGTCGCGCTCCATACTTTTAAGGCTTTCAGTTGAATGCGTCTCTATAAAGACAAATTGTGGTCTCCAACCTGCTGTATTGGTTTCAATACATCAGTTCTAAGATAGAGAAGCAAGGGCTACTGTGTTTTTATTCCATTTACTTTCAACGGCAACGTGATTGTAAACTCATGCATTAGCCCAGATTGCATCTTTTCCGTTGTGAAGTTTCAAATATGTTGCTTTAAGAACCCCCAGTGCACGTTGGTGTAAACATTTCATTTTGTTGAAATTAATATAAGAATAAATTCAACGCGATCAATAAGGAGCTTAATGCTAATAATTTTAATCTCGTGAATTTTTTAAACGAGTCAAATTTAATATTGTACTTTTTAAATCGAATCAAGTTCAACTCGATTCATTTACGGCCATACATAAATGCCATCGCTGAATGTGGGGGAGGGGGCAATTGCATGCCTATGCGGGAGAACACCATCCTCTACAATGAATGATAGAAAAACAAGCTCGTCGCCTCGAGCAATTGTTGTTTGGGCAACTACGATCGGGTGATTTTAAGTTTACGGGTAAAGATTTAGGATTTTAAATGTTACGGATTTAGGATGATAATAAAGATTTAGGTATTTACGATCGGATGATTTTTTTTTTTTTTTGAATTTTAGAGAACTTTTAGTTTTTTAATAATTTTAAATTTTTACTTAAATAAATTATTCTTAAAAATATAACCGCAACATATGTCATGTTTTAAATGATCGATAGATCGTTTTTAACGATCGTGATCGATCAAGTACTTCAATTGATAAGTCACAAATTTTAGACATGTATAATGATAAAAAAAATTAGGCGCGTGAAGTGAAAAAAATATAATTTAGAAACTTACTTTTTAGTTAAGTATTTCTTAATAGTCCAGATTGATTATAAGATAATATTAATTTAGAAATTTTTTAATCTATTGACAATGTTTATATATCATGTAGACATAATTGTTCAAACCCGATCCTTTAAGTAAAAAATAGTATTTGCTTTTATTAATGAAGGCACTACATGAATTTAATCAACAAGATATTTTTAGGCTTAATAACAAAAAAAATATTCTTAATATTTGATTAAATTGGCTGTCCAGCTCAGTTGGTAGAGCACAATGCTCTTAACCTTGTAGTCGTGGGATCGAGGCCCATGGTGGGCAATTCATAATTTGCCAGAAATTTTCTACGGAAGTTGCTCTCAACCTAGCGTTAGAGGCAACCTACTACCCTACCTCCCCCTTACCACATTACATATGGGAATAGGATCAACTATATTCTTAATATTTGATTAAATAATTACTTTGACCCTTATTATTTTTTAGTATTTTGACCGTCAACGATTTATTTTGAGATAAAAGACCCCTAAATGAATGAAATCATTAGTCAATGAACGGTATAAAATACATATATTTTACTCTAAAATGAAACTTTATGATCGAAATGTTTCAAAATAATTGAATAAATGCTAAATGATTTAAAATAAAAATTTAAAATAATTATAAACCAACGCAAGAACCTTTCCTTTATCAGTATATAATATTTTATTTACACCAAAACTTGCAATTATTGTGAGTTGTGACCCTGCCAAATTCTTTGCAACCAATAAATAATGTAGTCGCCATTTACCGCCAGCCCAATGATCCACCATCACAATATAATATAGAACACCAATAGGCGTAATAACCTTTTTGACCCTCCAAATTTATCAATTCAGTCACATTAACCCTTGAGGTTTTATTCTCTTTTGATTCTTAAATTTTTATTTTGCTCAAATAAATCCAAATGTGATATTAATAGAACAAAAATAACATAATGTTATCTTGACATAAATTATTTTATTTTTCATCAAAAAAATGTTAAAATTATAAACAAAGAATAATTAATTTTACTACTTTAATATGAACTATATAGTTAATTTTTCATTTTTAAATTGACACATGACATCAACTTAACCACGCTATTATAATTGAAAAGAATAAATGAAAACTATAAATAAAGGGTTAATTATATTCCAGACCACTTATTATTTGTGTAGTAACAAACGTATTATATTTATAATATGATTTAATTATTTAATTAAAATATCATTATAAACATATTATTTCATTGTTAAATTTGTAATAAAACTTCAACGTGATTTCGTATAACAATACTTTATTTCTTAAACTTCACATATTAGATTAAATTTGTTCTTACTCGAAATAATTCAATAAATTTAAATTTTTAGATTTAAAAATTACAATAATTTAATAATTTTTACGATACTATCAATTCAAAATTAAAATAATATTTTTTTAAATATAAAAGATTAAATTTAATTAATAAAAAAAATACGGCTGCTAACGTCACGCCATGTTTCACTGCCATTTACAATTTTGCCCTTTGCAGTACTCGGCCTAAGATGCAGCAGCTGAATTTACGTTACTGCTCGACCGTCTCCACCTAAATTGCCACAAAATTCAACTCTATCATATAGCCTGTTGTTTAGGTCTAGGCTATTGTTCTCTCCACCAAGATATTTACCTTTATGAATGGATTAAGATGTTATTAAAAATGTTTAAAATTTATGTATTTTAAATATTTAAAACTATTATATATTTCAAATATGTTATATGTTTTATTGATTATATTTCTTTATGAAATTTTGAAAGTTTATTTTCTCTTGATTAAAAATTCATCATCTGAAGATAAAATTTTGTATCAATTTTTATGAATAATACTTTTCAACATATTTAAGTAGGCCTATAAATGAACCGAATGATTGTATGTTCATGTTCGTTTGTTTAACTTTAATTAAACAAACGAACGAATATGAACAACTAAACGAACGAAATTTCTTGTTTATTTTCGTTGATTAAGAAATTTAGTTTGTTTGTGTTCGTTCATGTTTATTCTTTTAAATGATAAACGAGCACAAACGAAAACAAATGAACAAATGTAAACGAGAATAAAATTATTTAAGTTTATATTTGAGAAGAATTTTTTTTCTTTCAAATAATTTTAGGATTTATATTTTCTTTAATTGATTTGATTATTTTTTACTCGAGTTTAAAATTAATTGAATTTAAAAATAATAATATGTTTAAAGTTAAAATTTATTAAATCTTAATATTTCAACCGGATATGGTAACATAAATGAATGAACATAAGAAAACATAAATAAACGAACAGATTATAGAACATTCACAAACATAAATGAATGAACGAGCATTTTGTTCATGTTCATTCATTTAATTAAACAAACATGAAATATTATTCATATTTGTTCATTTAATAAATAAACGAATATAAATAAATTTATCGTCGACCGATTCGTTGAATATTCGATTCATTTATAAGCTTATATTTAAGTTTTACAACTGATCACTTATCGAGATTCTGCTACTACATCAGAACAAATGTAAGTAATTTATATTATCTAAGAAGACGTGATCGCAAAATTATCTCTTAATATTTGTATAAATGATTATTTTATCTTCAATTTTTTTTAAATTATTGAAGAACATAATACAATGAACTTTATGTTTATTTCATGTGCTACTCGTTTACAAGTATACCAGCTTTATAGCTAGTATTGAGCTAACAACTACTCTAACAATCTAAAAAACTTTGGCGCCTAAACTAACCGCATATTGTTAGCCATGCTAATATACATGCACGTCCACATCAAGCAGTTCTGCTAACATTCCCTCTACTCTTTTCTTTTCTTTTTCAATTAAGACAGTACTACAGTCCAAGCACTACACAAATACTGCGGCGAAATTCCGCAAATGCAGATTTGGAGAGAGGCTTGGTAAAGCCATCAGCTATTTGATGACTGGTTTTTATGTAGTTAACTTTCAACTGGCCTGCTGAACCTTCTCTCGAACGAAATGTATATCGAGGTCAATATGCTTCGACTGTGCATGGTACACAGGATTAGCACTCATGGCAGCTGCTCCTGTGTTGTCACACCAAACCACTGGCTCTCTCCATTACTAAAATCCCAAATCTGTAAGTAAAGATCTCGTCCAAGTAACTTCAACTGCTGCGTCAGCCAAACTCTTATATTCAGCCTCTATTGTGGATTGAGACACTGTTTTCTGTTTCTTCGAACTCCATACAATCGAACATTTACCAACGAACACACCATAGCCGGAGATTGATTGACGATCATCTACGTTTGCTCTCCAATCAGCATCTGCAAATGTTGATACAGTCAACTCAGCCTCACTTGCTTGAAACATTAAGCCATAATCTACCGTACCAACCAGATATCGAAGGATGCACGTGACTGCAAGCCAATGCGTTTCTCGTGGTACATGCATAAATTGCGTCACCTTTCCCACACTATACGCCAAGTCAGATCTAGTGTGGCATAGGTAGAGCAACGATCCTACTACGTTGCGGTATTCACTTGCATTTGGCAGTAACTCCCCAGCATCTTCAGATAACTTTGGCGTCAGAATCATCGGTGTATGATAAGCAGCTGCCCTTGTCATGTTTGTTTTCTCAAGCAATTCAAGTACAAACTTCTTCTGACTCAATAAGAGATATTAACGGGAGTGATGAACTTTAATTCCCAGGAAAAAGCAAAGTGAAACACATTACCAGTACCTCGTTTACAAACAAAAAGGGATGCATATGCTTAAGATGCTATAAACCCCATCTGTACAAGGCTATCATAGAGTTTAGTGTGCCAATTCCTGGGTGTCTGGCACAGTCCATAAATACCCTTTTGAAGCTTGCAGACCAGTGTAGACCCATATTCAGTAACTTGTTCAAACCCTGATGGTTACTACATGAACACGTCTTCAGTGAGATCATCATTGAGGAAGGCATTGTTCACATCAATGTGCCTCAACTCCTAGTTATTGGACACTGCCCGTGCCAAGATTACATTAAGAGAAGAAAATTTAACAATCGGGCTGAATGTATCAAGAACATCATGTCCTGGTATTTGCGAGTAGCCTTTCACAACCAGTCGCGCCTTATAACGGTGTATAAAACCATATGGGTTACGTTTTATCTTAAACAACCATTTGCATCCAATAGGTGCGTGACCTTCTGGCAAATTGACCAGTTCTCATGTGTTGTTCCTTTGAAGCGCTTCGAGTTCGGCTTGCACAACCTCCTTCCACTCGACCGACTGTAACGCCTCTTGTACTGAGGAGGGTATTTCATTGTCAAAATAAGTAGAATACAACTTAGGTTTGTAAATACCAC